AACCGCTTAGAGAGGGCTGAAAGCCCTATGAAGCGGTATATAAGTCTAACTGCTATTGCTATTGCTATAGTATAGCCTACTGCAGCCTCCGCAAGCCCCATTTTCCCGTTTGCTGCAAGGAGGGAAATTGCTGGGAGGCAGAGGCCAAAGGGTGGGGCCGGTGGGTGGCTGGGGCTACAATCAGTGTGTAAGACACACTCACATTTTCACCCTCTTTTTTGGGGGGGGGGGTCTTATACTCTGAAAAATATGGTAGTATATAAGACCAGTTGCCTCTTGAAAAAAAAAAAGCACCTTTGGGACAACCACGACCTGGATGGCTGAGAATCCCCATAGACATTTGGCCACAGGGATGGTGCACTGCTCATGTGTGAGAAACAGTCACCAGTCACTTTCTCCAGTGCCGTTGTAACTTGGAACGGTCGCTAAATGAGCAGGACTTACCTGTAGCCGCTTTCGCTGAAGCCCTCCTTCCTTCTCAACGCAGCTTCAAGGAGCATCTGTCCAGCCATGCGCCGGTGGACATTCTCTCCATGGAAGAGCTGCTGTGGATGCAGTCCAAGTTGGCCTCCGACACGGCCCCCAAGACGGCAGAGGGGGAAGCCGAGGAGGAAGCACCACCTGGAGAAGAACTGCCCCCGAAGGCGGAAAGCAAGCAGGAGGCCGCAGAGGGGATCCAGGCGTTGGTGAGTCCATGTCTTGGCTTGGACCCTTCGATTCCTCTCTTTCCAGGATCCCAATCTAGGCTGAACTAACCCAGAGCCAGAGATAGTGGGGGTGGGCAGTAGCCGAAATCACAAAGCCATCAGAATGCAGGTAACCAGTCTGTCAATCAGAAGGGAGCTGCAAGGTACCTTAGAACAGTGTTTCTCAACCTTGGCAACTTGAAGATGTCGGGACTTCAGCTCCCAGAATTCCCCAGCCAGCGAATGCTGGCTGGGGAATTCTGGGAGTTGAAGTCCCGACATCTTCAAGTTGCCAAGGTTGAGAAACACTGCCTTAGAAGTCTTCTGCTCAAGCAGGAGACCTTCTACCATTTCAGACACGTGGCTGTCCAGTCTCTTCTTAAAAGCCTCCAGTGATGGAGCCCCCACAACTTCTGGTGGCAAGCAGTTCCACTGGTTAATTGTCCTCACTGTCAGGAAGTTTCTCCTTAATTCCAGGTTGCTTGTCTCCTTGATTAGTTTACATCCATTGTGCTGCCCCAACAGTATGTAGCTAATATAGGAATTAAGAGCTGTCTCCTTTAAGAAACTACCTCATGGGAAATGTAGTTCCATAACATGTGACCACATCTGTTCTCCCTGATTGGGCACCGGGGTACTCTGCCCGGGAAAATTGATTTATTACCAACCTCTCACTGAATCGCCATCGGCACTACCAGAAGCAGCTGTGCACCAGCAGCATGGGTTAGAGGAATTAATGTCTTTTTACACTACGTGATGGGACAGATCGTGGGAAGTCAGAAGAATCTTA